CTTTGGACTTGACTCTCTGCACCACTGCGATTGATGCAGCATGTACACTGCGATTTGTTAGATTTGCTTTGGACCTTGAGGCTGGAAGGCGCACTGCTCGAGGAGGCGAATGGCTTGCCAATGGAGGGCATCGCTGAAAGCAATGCCGAGGGCACCGCAGATGCGACGTTGGGTGCAGGCCTTTCAATCCAGGTTGAGGAGCCCTTGCAAGAGGATCTTCGGCCGGTTCCAGTCAGCAGGTTAGAAGCTGCCTTTCCTGCACCGGTGCCCAGACGTGCGCAGGCGAAAGGCAGATGGCCTTTGCGACGCAAGACGAGCCTTGAGGAGCCACAGGCCCCGTCGCCGGATCCTGGCGTGCTCGGATTCGCGTCCAAAGAGGATGCGGAGAAGTCCATGAGAGCCTGGCTGCGTCGCGAGCAAGGCGACGACCGCGAGCCGGATCAGGGTGACGATAGTTGTCACGCTCAGAACGGTGTGGGCGAAGGTGCTATACGTGCTGTCACCGGCGGTGGGCCCAACAATCGGCTCCTGCAACCATTGCCGAAACAGCAAGCTCGCACGAGTTTTGCATCAGCTGCCAGCTCCCATGAGAGTGTCTTGCACGACGAGGTGGCCGCACAAGACTCAGCTGACTCGGCACAGTCCGGCTCGACATCCGGTGACTTGGAAGCTTCGGAGAGTCTCGAAGTCAACTCGTCCGAAATGGAGCTACGTCAGCAGACTCCTCACACGGATCTGGAGACGGAGGAAGTCTTCAGGGAGATCCAAAAGCGAGAGCAGGAGCATCCTCCACAGAAGCCACACTTGAGCCAGATTGGGCATCGGCAGCACTGGCTCGATCTGATCGAGCACAGGGTGTTGCAGCAAGTGGTGGTGAGCGAATTTATTGCGGAGCCCGGCGGCCACGCTGTCCGAGCACGAAGCCTAGCCAGTGCCGATGACTGTTGCAGTTCTTTGAGTGCATGCCGTATGCCGTCTGTGACGAAACGAATGCTCGGAGGAAGCAATATCTTCCCGGTGCCGAGGTTGTAGGCATCGAGAATTGATGTTTAAAGCCGCGCATGAACAAGGTTGCTCGACTTTGATCTAAGTAGCAGCGTACAAGTCAATATGTAGACCTTCCTCATCCGTGGTTCCATTTTGATCGCTGTGTGCTTTCGTTTCTGCCATGGCCGCGATTTCTTTGGGCACGCGTTGTGCCGGAGCCTCGGGGACCCGTGAGTTGCCGAGACTCAGCGAAGATCTCAGCTCAGGCGCAGGCGCGGCAGGCCCGAGCCTCGGCCTCGGCCTCGGCGCAAGCGGAGCTCGCTGGTAAAGCGCCTTTCGCCCCTGCGCCACGGCCGCTGCGGCCGCTGCCCGCTTGGCGCGCGAAGGCACAGGCCGATGAGTCGGCCGCAATTCCTGTCTTTGCGTGATCTCTTCCTGTCGGCTAAACAAAAGAGGTACCTGCCGCGCCTTCTTCAGAGGCAGGCTGAAGGCAGCACAGGTGCAGAGGGCAACGCGAAAGCAATCAGGTGGCCCTGGCACTTGGGGGAGGTGGACTCCTGGGTGCGGCAGCTTCCGGCAGAAGATTGCCCAGGCACATCGCAAATGGCGATGGTTGCTGCAACATTGCCTGCCCTGTTAGCTTTTTTCTTCTGGCCCATGTCTCTACTCAC